ACTGCTATATTATGTGTCTACATAAAAGTGCAAAATTTTAAACAAATCGGAGTTTCACAAATCATGTTGCAAAAAAATGTTTTTTTTTTACTTTTCTTTGCAGTTTTAGTATTCAACAATCTATTATAACTTATTGTAGAACTATTAAATTGTAGGCAGCAATAAGTATTTAAACTTTTGATACTATATGACAATAATTTCTAAGTAACAAAGCGATCTGTTTGAAATCTTGCACTCTTATATATACACACAATAGCATTATCATTACTACAAAAATTATTAACATTTATTAAATAGTGTTAAAAATGGTTTTTTTGAATAATCTCGGCAAATTATTGATCGATTTAAGCCTGTAAAAATTGAAATTAACCGTCCCTAACACAATAGTTTGTTAATAGAAAAATTGCTCCTAATATATAATTCTACATAAAAAAACTATACTTACGGGCTTTGGTCTAGGAGTCAATAAATCAAGATTTGTCTTGTACATTTATTTTCATCCATAGTGTCCTATATCTCGTATGTAACTATATTCGTTAACGACGAAGATTCTGCAGTGCTCTTTTGGTAGTTGCCTTATTTGTTTTTCCTATATTAATATATTCGTAATATTATCCTTATTCTCCGTATTCTTATTTTTTATCTATATCTCACCTTATTTTTTTATCTTAATCTTTTTTATCTTAATATTATCCTTACCCTTGTATATGCTATGTCGATGTTATGATTTGATCAGTTTTTTATTTTGTACCCAGGCAAAAACCTTCTTCAAGGTAATAAATTAAAATTTTTCTTATAGTAAATCTATTTTCATCCATAGCGACATCTGATATCTAGTATGTAACTATACGTTCATTAATAACGAAAATGCAGTGAAGTGCACTTTCGGTAGTCGCTTTATTTGTTTTTTTCTATCTATATAATCGATATCCTCTCCCCTTTCATTTAACGCAATGGTTATGCACGTCCCCTTTTGGCAATGCCGCCATGATTGTTTTTTCCGTCATTGTACTAGTTACCCTCTAGCCTTGCCAACGATACCTCATACATCACGATCCGTCGAGCCGTTCTCGAGCTGTGCGACTAATTTGGATTAGAAAAACAAAAAAGTAAAATAACCAAGCAGATCGAAGGGCATTAAGACGCATTATAGTGAAAAATCGACAAGCAAATTATATGGAGTTAGGCGTTTTATGGAGTGACGTTATTGGAAGACTTACAACCATGAAGATCAGGCAGTGACGAAGGAAAGTCTCCGACAGGGAAGAAAGTAAGAACATTGTTAAGCCCGCCAAGACTCACAAAGGGTTGTACCGCCATTAGAAGAAGAAGTTATTGGAAGACACGTTTCTAGATCAACATGTCACCGAGAGGCCCACAAATTAGGATTTGGTACCTACAAAGTAAGTCTTATAGTTGAAAACATTGGTACGAATTGTTTTTAATAAATTTCATTTTATTTTAGGCTAAGGAAAAGCCACTTTAACGTTACAACAAATGAAAAATAGACTAAGATGGTAAAAAGAGCATAAAGATTGGACTCAGTTGCAATAGGATTCAATACAATGGAGTGATGAGTCCAGATTTGAAGTGTGTGTTGAAGACAGTAGGAGTCGCGTGATTCGCAGGAAAAATGAAGCTTTCCTGACTGTCTAAAGACAAAAATTAAAATTTCCTGCATCTGTCATCATCTGGGACAGCAGGTCGCCTAAAGATGTGAGAAAGTTACATTTTATCGATGGGATTGTAAACACTGACAGCGGAAGATTTTGTCTTCCAACAGGACGGCGCAGGTTCTCATATCTCAAAGAATTTAAAATGGATTGAAGACCATGGCATACCACTTCTGGAATGGGTTTCTAACAGCTCCGACTTAGTGGCGCGAAATGAAAAAATCTTTGAGAACACATCCTGCCAGGTCCGTCAACGAATTGAAGGAAAAATTGCAAGAAATATGTGTTTCGTTCACATTAGAATTTTGTCAGAACTTGGTAAAAACTATGCCTTGAAGAATTGTCCATGTAATTAAAAATAAAGGGTACTCAGTGGTAAACTTTTACATTTTTTTTATTAATATTACATATTCTATGCGTTTTTAAAATTTAATATTATTCTGCACAATCAATAGTTTTTATTACGTTATAAAATACTTTCTATAATCAGGAAATTCAAAAATGTTGTTCGATGCATTAAAACTTCTAAAATGTAGGGGCTTTTATTTTTGTTCTCTAAAATTTAATTTTCTTATCAATCTAACGCTGGGCCAACTGATATGAAAAGTGGCTCGTATATGTTTCATTAACTATGTCCCCCCAACGACATAAAGCTATCAGCTATCTGTAATAATTTTCTGAAACCAGAATCTTTCTACCTCAATTACTTCGAAAAGGTGTAAAATTTACCATATGAATCTACCACGCTTGCATTGTGTGTTTATTTTCTAGTTCTTAGATATGGTAACGAAATGACGTGAATTCTACTTTTATTTATCTATTCAGATCGAATACAATTTAATATGATATAAAACACTAATAAAATAAAACGTTTTTAATCGAAAAACTTATAAAATGCACTTAATCCTTCAGATACATCTAAATTATAGTTTTTATACAGGCACTAAACAATGCATTCTGCTTATATAATCAATAAAGAAACAATGTGAGTTTTGTATATAAAAATTATGTTTTTTCTTAATTTAATAGTTATAAAAACTATATTACTAGATGAATAAACTTATATGGAAGAATTTGTACTACAGATAACCTTAATTAAGAAAAACTATTCAGTAACAGTTTAATAATTTTTCCTCAAGAAATGCCGTTTCTCTTTGTACTTTTAGACACCAAATAGAAGTTACCAATTCTATTATCACAAAAAAAGTGATGACGGATTCTGATACAACGGATTTTCTACTGTTTGCGGCCGTCTCACCGACCCCATTTTACCTGCTCCTCGGTCATAGGTTGTTGCCTCTTCTAGGTTCTTTGCTATCATTCATCATCATTTGGCTCTACAACTCTATATGAGTCTTGGCTGCGTTAACTATCTCCCTCCATTGTTGTCGGGCCTGAGCTGCTATTTCCCATTGCTGCATTCCTATTTTGCGTAGATCACTGGCTACTGCGTCCTTCCATCTCTTTCTTGGGCGACCAACTGACCTTCTGCCATTTCCCAGACTGTGGCGTTCAAGAGTCTTTCGCCATTCGATCTTAGCATGTGGCAAGCCCATCTTATTCGGTTTGTTTTTGCTTTGCTGTCATTGCTTCATCGATATCATCAGGCCAACTTCTTCGAGTACTTTCTCTCTTTTCTCAGGGAGAACCCATTCTGTTATTCTTTGGGTCCATCTACTTTGTGGTGACCCTTTACGTATCCGAACCATGCCATCTGTTTTTTATATTTTCTAGTATGATCAAGCTTCATTTTATCTCGTATTTGCTAGGTTCGGACCCTTTCCAATTTTAAATTATCACAAATTTTCCCTTCTGACTCTAATTGTGTTCACTAATTTGTCTTAACCAGTCTATCTCTGTCATCAACTTTATTTATTACCGTTGGTAATATTATAACCCCGAACCGTATAGTAACACTTTGCATGATACTTCTATAATCTATAGATACGTTTTTTATTTCTTTTGTGATTGACATCTACAAGAGACAATAGTTAAATCATCTGCGAACCACTTGAAACATATTTTATTAGCTCTATGTGTATTTCATCTGGATCTCAGGATTTTTTAAATTGCATGCCGTAACTGCATCTCTCACCTGTCCTATTTTTAGCTATATTCTTCTTTCTGCTTCTATTTGTTTGTAGAAAGTTTTTTATTTAGACATGAACGTGTCTATTTGATTTAAACATGACATGATTTAGACTGAACTATTTATGTCTCCCAACATAGTTGTCTATGTATGTATTCGCACTTTTTTCCCAGATCTTATTCTTTGTGAATACTTCTTGTTTTGCATTTCTCTTTTTATTCAACTCTTTATATTGTATTTTTGTTGGTCCGTCTCCCTTTATAATGTCTTCTTTTTCTTGATCTCCTCTCTTCGATTTTCTGGTCTCACGATAAGGTGTTTGTCTTGGATTTTGTTTTTTAAAGCTTCTTCTGCTGCCTCTTTTATATGCCCATATTCCACCATCGTAGTTTTCTGGGCTTCCCTTAATTTTTGTGTTAGGAGGTTCCAGGAATAGAGTAGACGTTGGTTACTTGTCTAACCTATCGAAGTTGAACAATGTTTTTCCTATTTTGTTTCAAGACATGCATGTCTTTCTCCTCTGTTTATCTTTACAACTTTTACTCTGAGTTTAGTATGTTCTCTTATTGTTATGTAGTCTATTATAGATTTTAGGTGAATTTATGTATGTCTTTGTGTGCAAAGAAACGATTTAAAATTAAGTTACCCTAACTTAGAGAAACTCGGCGCGGAACTAGCAAGGTTGGAGGAGGCCAAAGGTTGATTTGGGCTGTAGTGCCATTAGAGGGGGTATATTAATGAGATATTTAAGGGATGCGACATAATTGTCGTGTAGACAATGACTAGTATATTTGAAGAACATATGTCAAATACTACTCCAATGTTTCTCTATCTTTTTTTTAGCCTAGAAATATAAACTAAAAGTTTCCATAACTATTAATGCTGAATCAGAATCCGTTATCAGTTTTAATGTATCTTCAGTAATCCCCAGACGGACAGACAGGCATATAGAAATCAAAAAACTGAAAGATCAAATTTGTGTTAAAATTTTTATTTCGATCCAACTGTTTTTACAAATATACCAACCTGAATAATTGTCATAAAGGATTTATACATGTTCTGACATTGTAGAATACAAAATGCTCAAACCGGTGGAATGTTTTTCAGCCGACCTTAACCTTTTTACTCGTATTTGACAACTGTTGTTCTTTCGATCTTTGATTTGATTATGTATCTATGCAGGAACGTTAAATAAAGATATTGTACAATATGGAAAGGTAAAGCGAAAATAAAAAAATCCAAATACAATACTTTATTAATTTCAACATAATTAGCAATATGTAGATCCACTATAGAACGTATAAAACTCAGAATATTAGCAAATTAACAACAAAAATTTAAAAAAATATATTGAAACAGAATAAAAGAGCAGGAATAATGTGTGCATGTATGAAACGGAGACTAGAGACTTATCATCGATAAATAAGTTGACAAATCATACGGTCCGGACACATGGAAAGAATGAATTAAAACATATGACCTAACAGAACGTTAAAATATCAACCTAAAAAAACTTACTACTAAAAATAACAAAAAACTTGTAGTGTGTGGTGTGAAGAGAAAAACCCAATACAATGGAAATTTCTAAAAAATATTATACGACGCTACATCGTGAGCAGTTACAAAGAGTGAATAGCATACATATTGCGCAATCGACAATATCTAAGTTAAGTAAGATAAGTTTATTTTGACAGACCTTCTTACCTTCTCTGAATCATTTAATAAAAATTATACACATATTTGTCTCATAGGGTTCTCTCCATGAAAAGTTTAATTTGAAGTGGCGTCGAATTCTTTTCAGTTTGCTTGCTGCAATGCTTGTAATTGTGTAAAGAAATCAAAAAAACTTCAGGAAGGTGCCATAGCTTAATAAACTAAATGGAAATTTTAGAAAACACAGTTTTCCACGTCTTATACATAAAATAATTACTTCAGGGGTGTAACCGCATTCCAATTAATTTTAAAATTATTTTAAAACATTAAATCAAGGTTGTTCTGTTACAAAAACCTTCCATACAAAACATGATATACAAAACAATGTAAACTATAAAAATATGTGAATAATGAAACATCATCTAGAGCTTTGTCCTGATGTAGACACAAGATACATCACGATCGTCGCAGCCCAACCTTCTGGCATGTTTGTAAACTTCGTTAGCGGTGGAGGTCATCAGCAGTGGTTGTTTCAAATCGTCTGACATATCTAACGCCAACCGCAAGTTAGTCTGCATGTGTTTAAGGGCTTGATGAACTTGTTTATCGTAACCTTTAGTCATCATGAGTTCCGCCTTAGTGGACAAATAAACGGATGAGAGGTCGGTGAGATTAAATATTTTGAGTACATCTTTAGTGGATATACCACATCGATCTGCCAAGCCTAATGCTTCAGCCATTCCAACTAAACTAACGCCTGAAAAAAAAACAAAAAACAAAATTATAAACTATTTTCTACAATACAGTGATACAGCTAAAATACTATTGGAACAGGAATATAACGTTACAGATTTATTATAATTCTGGAATCATGTAAAAGTTTGAACTTGTCTAGTGGATGGGTAACATATATTTGTGAAGTCACTTGGTAGTCTTCAAAAGCACTTGCCGCCTACGATCTAGTGCTTACCACCTACGATCTAGTGCTTGGTAAGTTGTGCACAATATTATTGAGTATTTCAGATAACAGTCTCATTGTGTACAGGTGTCTCTTAGCATGTCCAGCAAGGAAGCCTGTTAATATCCGGAGCTGATTCCTATTAAAATTAGGGAAGGCAACTTTCGTATTACTAATTGATACATGTATATAGAATAGATATGAAGGGGAACATAATGTGGGGACAACGATATGAAGTGCTAAGATTGATAATATAAGGAAAGATGAGAGACAAAGGAGTATAGGAAGGAGAATGTCTATCTATTTCGGTCCATCTTTGGACATAGGCCTCCCCAATCCTTTTCCATTCTTCTCTGTTTGTCGCTACAGTCATCCAGCTAGAGCCCACGTGCTTCTTGATATCATCTGCCCGGCTCATTTGAGGCCTTCCTCTGCTTCGTTTATATTCCCACGGTATCCAACTTATTAGAATTTTGTTCCATCGGTCTTCTTTTTGTCTTATATTGTGTCCGGCAAATCTCCATTTCAATTTTGAAACTTCTCGTCTAACATCCCTCACTTTTGTTTTCTCTCTTATCCACTCGTTTCTCTTTTTATTCATTAGTCTTATGTGCAACATTTGTCTTTCATTGCTCTTTGGGTTTTTAAGATTTTGTCCATGTTTGCTTTTATAAATGTCCACGTTTGGGAACCATAAGTAAGAACAAGAAGTACGCATTGATTGTATACTTTGGTCTTAAGATGCTGTGAATATCTTTTGTTTTTAAGAATGTAGCTTAGTTTGTCAAATGCCGCCTATGCCAGTCTAACTCGTCTTTTTATCTCTGCTATTTGGTTTTCTTTGTTAAGTTTTATAGTTTGACCCAGATATATATCATCCTGAACTTGTTCTATTTCGTCTTGTCCGATTCTCATTGTGAAGTCTTCATCTGTATTTGTTATGGTTTTGGTCTTGGTGTAATTCATATTAAGGCCTATCTTTCCAGCTTCTACGTCCAGTTTTTTAATCATTTCAAATAATTCTTCTTTTTTATCGGTTATCAATACGATGTCATCAGCGTACGTTAGATGGTTGAAGCGTTGTCCACAAATTTTTATACCTTTTTCTTCATATTCTAATCTTTTAAACATATCTTCCAGAGCCTGATTGAAAAGTATCGGTGATATTCTGTCACCCTGTCTCACGCCTCAATTTATTTGTATTGATTTTGTTCCTTCATATACTTTAATTGTTGTTTTGGCTTCCTTATATATATTGGCTATTAGTTCCGTATATCTGTGGTCAATTCTGCTGTTGATTAAAGAACTTTTCACTCCCCAATGTTCCAACCTGTCGAAAGCCTTTTCGAAATCTATGAACGCCATATATAGAGGAATGTGGTATTCATTTACACATTCTAAGTATTTTCATACTTAGTAAATGGTCACTTGTGCCGAATCCCTTTCTAAAACCAGCTTGTTCTTTCGACTGGTATCCGTCGAATTTTATCGTCAATCGATTGGTTCAAATTTTTGTTATGAGTTTATACATTATATTGAGGAGTGTTACAGGACGGATTTTTTTATATCTGCTTTATCCCCTTTCTTGTGTAGGATAATGGTTACGAATTCCTTCCAGTTGTTTGGGATTCTTTTTTCTTTTTAATATCTTGTTAAAAAGGGAATGTAGAGTATTAATTACCACTTTTCCACCATATTTCAGCATCTCTGCAGTTATTCCATCTTTTCCAGGCGATTTGTTGTTTTTCATTTCTTTCAATGCCTTCTTTATTTTTGATTTGCTTATTTCTGGCTGTAGCTCTGAGTTGAAATTTTTTATTTTAGCCTTAAGTTGGTTTTTAATTTCTACTGGTGGTTCCTTTTTTGTTTTATATAATTCTGAGTAGAAACGGTGGATTATATTTATGATTTTACCGTTGATCCGTTTACATCTTTTATTTCGTTGATTTCAAACTTACTTAATTTCGGCCTTAAGCATTTCATATTTTTGTTGTTCTGTATTACTTCTTCTATTTAATTTCTTGTTCTTTTCTCTTATTTCCTTTTATCATTCTGCTTATTGTTTTATTGATTTCTACATATTCTTGATTTCCTTTTGGCTTCTTCGTTCAGCTTCCTTCTTTTATCCATAAGCTTCTTTGTTTCTGTTGATATATAGTTGTTCTTTTTTAGATCCTTTTTTACTATTTCTTTTCCTGATGTAATCATCGTTGCTCTAAGTATGTTGTCTATTTCGTCTATATCTTTATCATCACTGTCTAATTTTTGGGTAAGTAGTTCTTTTAATAGGTCTTTGTATATCTCTTTATATTGCCCTAGTTTGTTTCTATCTACTAGATCCCAGTTTCTAATTATTTTTCTTTTCATTTCATAGTTACCGTCAATACTAATTTTTGCTCTGACCATCTTGTCAGGAGAATGTCATGGTTGAAAAATTAAAGGAACTGGTTTAAATGAAGTTCAAACCGCTCTCCTGAATAATAATTATTTTGGACTTTTATTCTGGGGTACAGATATTCGAACATTGTTCACACTCGAAAAGCCAGTAAAACTCTATTTTACTGATATCACTTGTAGGGCTATGAGATGCCAAAGTTTCGTTCCAGAAAGTGTTGAATCAAGACCACAAAACATAAAAACATTTAAAACGTTTGAGACAAATCAGTATCACCTAAGTTAGTTAAAAACATATTTCTACCTCCGCAAAAAAAATTGGCAAATGTAACAGAAATGTGCACAATATGTATTTGCGTATATAAATTAATGGGTTCTTTGCCTCCGAAAGGTTAAAACACTTGTAAATAGGTTACTTGACAATCATTTTCGTTATTAATGAATTATTAAAAGATACAAATTTGAAAAAAAGTACGAACTCTATTTTCGACATTAGTAATATTCAAAATACACAAGGTGATTATTTTTTAACAAAGTCTGTCATATCTGTTATTGTATGAGATACCAAACAAATTTATTTACAAAAATATGGGGTAAAAAGGAGGTTTTAGCTGTAAGCTTCATATTTTAAAATTAGTTACGTATATACAGTGTCTTTCATAACACTTGCATCAAAGATATTTTTTAATGACACACCCTGTATTTTATTTTAAATTTAAAATCCGCTTCACTTGCTCGTTATAATAATATCAAATTGTTTTGTGTTTTACAGGGTATTTAAAAAGTTATAACCAAATTACAATGAAAAACTTCAACAAAATTCAACACCCAATATAATTGAAAAGGGGTACAAAAGCGACGACCTTTGTAGCCATAGTTTTTAAATGATTATGTATATAACTAGAACTTATTGTTTTATGATTTCAGTGATATTGTTCTTAGAGAAATAAAGACGTTATTGATGCACTATACACTTTCTCAGAGAGTTGAAGCAACTACTACAGATGTTTCAAAGTCTATAGTTAATCGAATAAAAATAATAATGGATTCAAAAGCGACATTCGATTTGGGCCGTGTTCGAAAATGTGACAGGGAAAGAATCAGTACTCCTCGTACTGATTATAAAAGAAGAAGTTTATAAAAAGAGTGTGGCACATCTGAATGCCATTTATAATAATGAAGGAATTAATGTTTCCAGAAGAACAATCTCGCATTCATTTATCGATGTCACCTGTGCCACACAGAATGCGGCGAGAAAAATTAGAGACTGGACCGTGCTGCCGGATGAAACTGCTACAGCAGCGAACCAAACAGGAAGCAGAGTTGGAGATAGAACGGACTGGCTAGCGTTTGATGAGTATTCTAGATGGTTGATAGAGAGGAGAAGATGCCAACCGCCATCGGCAGAAGGACTTGAATCAATAATAAGAGAGACAGACTATGAGAAATTGCATAAACAGGGCAGATGAAAAAAGAAAAATGCCTTATTGGTGGTGCGAAGAGATCGCCAATAAGAGGAAGGAATGCATTGCCATCAGAAGACAGGCAACGAGGGCAAGAGGTAGAGGAGAAGTAATCGAAGCTAGCAGAATGGATATGGTATACAATGCGCGAAAGAAGGAAGTGAACAGCAAGATGCGAGCCGAAAAGAAGAGGCACTGGAGAGAACTGTGTGACAAGTTGGATGAGGGGACGTTTGGGTTCAGGGGTACAAAATAGTAATGAATCATTTTAAGCTGTACCCTCTGTATGAGATGCCACTGGGCAGGAAGCTTGAGGTTACCCGAGAGCTATTTCCACTCAGCCATTGGCATGGAGTGCAGTGGGACGCCGAAGCTGAGCGAGCTGTACCTTTTACCATAGAAGAACTCAACGAAGAGTTGAGTGCCCTAAAGACACGAAAGGCTCCGGGACTCGATGGAATACCACCAGAAGCGGTGAAACGGATTGGCAGTATGGACCGACGTGGCTTTTGGATACATAAATGTACTGCTTGAAACTCAGCGATTTCCGACAAAATGTGAGATCTCGTGGCTCGTGCTAGTCCCAAAGGGGGAAGACAAGTATCGACCTGTTTGCCTTCTGTCGTGTATAGGTAAAATTATACAAGAGGCTCCTAAGAGGGCGAATAGACACATTGATTGAAAAGTGAGGCGGGCTGTCAGGGAGTACGATTTCAGAAAGAACAGGAGCAAGGTGGATGCGCTGATGGAAGTCTTCCGGGAGTTACGCGGGGTGGGGGTTAACCAGAGGTGGGCAATCCTACTGTTTTTTGACGTCCGGAATGTCAACACATTAAAATGGAAAGAGGTAATGAAGGCTATACGAGAGACAAGGTGTCCGAGGTACTTGATGAATTTGGTCTCCGGCTATTTGTCAGCGAGAAAAATTGTGGTAAAAAAAGGAGTAGTGGTTGACGTGACGACTGGAGTGTCGCAGGGGTCGGTCCTAGGACCCACGCTGTGGAATTTGACAAATGACGGAGTTGTGAGCTAACAATATGGAGAGGGTGTAACCCTTTTCGCATTTGCGGACGACCTCGCTATGCTGGTAGTGGTGCGGGACAGGGAGGACCTTATCTTTGGTGCACAGCGTACATGCAACCAACCGTACATGCGTACATGTGTACATGCAAGACCGAGGCTATAATTCTCAAGGGACCAAGAAAAAGGGACGGAATAACATTTGAATGCGCAGGAAAGAGAGTGGTTCCAAAGAACTGCATGAGGTATTTAGGGGTGACTAAGTCAAAACGGAAAGTGGAGGGAGCACGTAAAAGCGGTGAGATCGGCCCAAATTGAAAGGGATCATGCCCAACACCGGAGAGCCCAAAACTAAGAGGAGGAGGGCCCTTCATTCTGTTGTGCAATCGATCGTCCTCTACGCTGCGTCTGTCTGGAGTTCTGCAGTTTTAACAAAGGCGCACAGAAAGCAGCTCACCCGGGCAAATAGGAAGAGTCTATTGAGGGTGGCGTGTGCATACAGAACAGCCTCTGCCGAGGCGTTAGGTGTTATCACCGGGTGTATTCCGACACACACGTGCTAATGAAGGAAAGAGGAAGAATATTCGAGAGAAGAAATGAAGACATAGCAACAGAACGTTTAAAAAAATGAGAAACGGAAAGGTCCATAATGGTGTGATAAGAGAAATGGGATGAGATAAGAAGGAAGTGGAAGAAGTCGTTGATTGCTAATCTGATAAGATGGATTGTGGGCACCGGCATTTGGATTATTTCCTGACGCAGATGCTCACAGGACATGGTTGCTTTAGGGCATACCTTTACAGATTTGGAAAGGCAGAAAATTACAAATGCCTGTATTGTGAAATATCGGACAATGTCTCACAGACTCTATTGGTATGCGATACATGAATAGGTGAGAGGAGCCTGCTTGAGAGAGAGCTAGGAAAAGTAGGGTGGAGTCGAGCATCTACAACTTTTTTTAACGAAAGAAGTTTATGAACAGCGAATATTATTAGTGTTACTGGTATGCTTCTCCGACTAATTAACATTCCAGATTTTAGTGGACAACAATGCCTTCGTCCGATCACGTCCTGTAGAGCGGTTCTATCCAGATTGCATTGTGGAGAGATTTAAACATCCGGTTAGTGTCGTGGTGTGGTCTGTAATTTCGTCCAAAAATATGGGACACTTATTCATCGTAGAACAATGAGACAGAACCAGTATAAGCGAGTACTCGGCTACTGCCCAGCTCGAAAAATGGTTAACGTGCGAAAAACTTATATTTTTATGCAATATTCTGCACCGTGCCACAAAGCTAAGAGTGTAACCGCATTTATGACCGAAAAAAATATTGTAGTTCTACTCTGGCCGGGAAACTCACCTGACATGAACCCCCTAGAGAGCATGTGTGAGTTAATAAAATGGGCGAACGACAAAGATGGCATCACCACGAAGCGGCAGTTGATTGAAGACCTTATTGAAGAATGGCATCATAACCCAAACAAAAATAACGCAGAAGCTTGTATTCATAGCATGCCCCGACAGTTACGCAGGAAAGAGTGGCATCACTAAACATTAAAATTAGTGATTTTATTTTCCATTTTTTTTGTGAAGACTAACAAAACGCTTTGTTTTTCTGGCAATAATAACAATATTTTTTATGTGAATCGTCTCCAATATGCATGTGGTGTTGTGATTTTAATCTTTTTCCAAAATTTGTACATTTTCAAAATGAAAATAATGGCTATTTTCCAGAGAATGCTTGGCTAAACCTGTTTGATTTGTTGGTTTGTACACTATGTTTGTGTGCAACGACCCTTCTATGCAGATATTGGTGTTTGCCCAATATGTGTTGAATTGCAGTCTTTACAATTTATTTTATAAATAATATCTGACTGATGATCTTTATTAACATTGGATCTTTCGTGATGTATTCACATATAAGCTTCACATTTGTGTCACATGCTAGATTAAAATTAATGTATTTTTGTAGGTGCGCATATGTAACTTATTATTTATATTTATCCATCCATCCAATGGCACTACAGCCCAAGCCGGGCCTTGGTCTCCTTCATTAAACCTCTCCAAACATCTCTATTTACTGCTGTTCTTTTCCATGAACGCGTTTTTAGGAGATTTTTGGCATCCTCATCTACCTCGTCTTCCCATCTCTTTTTTGGTCTTCCAACAGGTCTTTTTCCTTGCATTCTTGCGTTTAGTAATTTTCTGGGGATTCTGTTCTCATGCATGCGGGCCACATGCCCTGCCCATCGTAATCTCTGCAGACTAGTGTATTGTGCTAGTGTTGGTTCAGTGTATTGTTCGTATATTTCGTTATTATATCTAATTCGCCAGTTGTTATTTTCCTTTATTGGACCCAGTATTCTACGCAATATTTTTCTTTCGAACACGTCTAATGCATTGGTAGATTTCTGTGTTATAACCCATGTTTCACACCCATAACTTACTATGGGTCGGATTATTGTTTTATATACTCGGAGTTTTGTTTTCCGGTGTACGTCTCGCGATTTGAATATGTGGCCCATCGCGAAATAGGCTTTGTTTGCCAGCATAAGCCTTCTATTTATTTCCGGTTATTCTTCATTATTTTCGACCAGATCCATTTCTAAATACGTGAATCTATTCACGTATTCTATATCGTCTATAAATTGTTGTTGTTGCGCCTGTCTATTTGATCTGGTTTGCATTTATATTTATACAATTGTTAAATATTCCTTTGTTTGAATATATTTTTAAGTCTCTTTTCAGTTATAAAATTAATACTTAAACTTAACATGTTTACAAGCGTTTACTTACCTTTAACGATCTGTAAGATAAGGCTAGCTTTAGCTGCACTTCCAGCCGCTCCAAGGTAAAATGAAGTTTTACCCATTGCTTTAAAACATGACTGGCAGTCTAAAAACAGGGTCTGGTCCCCAGCGGTCAAAACTACTAAACTACCCTCGTCCGCTTCTGTTTTGGACCCTTGTACTTGAGCCTCTAAATACCTGCCCCCTTTACTTCTAATTATTTCACATAAATCTTCTGAAGTTTTTGGATTAATACTAGTCATCTCCACATATCCTTTTCCTTCTAGGTAATCGGCAGCTTTTGTTATACCGCAGTTACCCACTACGTTCTGGAAGAGATACAATACATTAAAAAATAAATTAAAACAAGTTAAACCGCGGCAAAAAAGCACCAAGCCAAATAATGGTATTGTAAATTGTTTATTGATTCGATAGCATATAGACCAGGGAACTAACTATTTTCCCATTACACTCGTTGATATAGGTATTGAACAACTGCTTTTGATATATATATTTTTTATATCGGACAACAGATTTCTCCTTCGCAATGAAGTAGTGGCGTCATGTAATTTGATTGCCTATTTCTGTCCAATTATCTCTCTCCTGTACGTGTTGTTTTGCTTGGGAGAATGAGTAACGAGTCATGGTCTTTATTTGTTCCGACCATTGTACTGGAGATCTTCCTCTGGATCTTTTACCCGTTACGTTACTTTCAACTATCATTAGCTCCATGCCTTCTCTTCTTGTCCAAAATATCTCAGTATATTTTGGTTGATAGTTGTGATAAGTCTAGTTTTTATGTTAAGTTCTGCTAGAATTGATTTATTTGTGCGATGGGCGGTCCATGGTATGTGCAACATTTTACGGTAGACCCACATTTCATATGCCATTATACGCTTTGAATCAGTTTTTTTTATTGTCCAATTTTCTGAAGCATAGGTGGCGATAGGAAATATCAATGCTCGAACATAATTTTGTGTTTTTTGCGATGTTAGTGTTCTTCCAAATTTTTATGAGTTTGGCTGTTGCCGATCTGGCCATTGTGATGCCATGAAATACATATGTACATAAAAATAAAAAAAATGCTTCTCCATTTTTGTATACATAACATACATAGGGTGTGTAATACTCTCTAAAATATGTGTAATACTCTCTCAGAAATTTCTTTTCCGTCATTAAATGAATCTATACATATAAATAATGAATACGTTATTATGATATACATATGGTAGGTTCACGTCGAATTAACCGGCAAAAACGTGAACCGGCCAGGTATGCCACTGTAGGTGTGCAGTTAAGAGGAATTGTCCTGTACCTCTGTGTGTTGATTCGGTGTGAACCGTAAGCAGAGAGTTTGATTCTATACATATTTTTATAAAGGACATGAGTTTTTCCAGTTCTTAGCAGCATTCTAATCCTATTCACATTGTATTAGCATAAACATTGGAGAGAACTTTTCCTTGATATTAACTATTTTTACCACACTTAATCAGGATACTTACCTCTTTCGCGTTCGAAGGATCGCTTACACAACTGAAAACGATATCAGAATTTTGCATGACATCGCAGGGGGTAATGAACGTATTAACCAATCCAGATTTATTTACGTCGGCGTCTGCTTGTGCTTTGAATTCTTCAGACTGAAATAGAAAAAACGTAGTTAATAAAATAAAAATTGAGAATGGACCCATAGCTACACAATTATCTAATTTGGGGCACCAATCAAATATTTTTCCAAGACCTATCTTTAAAGTTCCTTATATTACACAGATGTGTCGAACGGTTGTTTATAGTTAGTCCACACCGTTATCGAAAATAAAATATCACCTTAATTAAAAGTGAACTTTGACAGTACATGGACTGTAATAATTAACTTACACCTGAATTATTTATTAACGTGACTTTATTATATTTCTAGTGCAAATAATTCGGTTTGATTTAATTTAGTAGTTGTTCATAGTATTATTATTTTATTATGGATAGTGAAGATTCCGAGGTTGAAATATGTACTCCGGAAGAAACCATAAAGTCTCCACCTTCGACTTGGAGACCTCTCATAAATAAAATATTGTTCGGTCCAACCGTCAATCAAAATCCTACTGTTAGAAATGTTCGCGCCAATCCCCACGCAAGCTTCCACGCCAACCTCCAAACAAACCACGTCACCATCGACGGTACCCTCCTCTATTACCAGCCCAGTAATTCATTTAGGCCACATATCTGCCTATTAGGTCAAAGGTTCCAAGATCTGGCTTACCAATTGGAAACATTTTCCACTGAAGCCAATAAAATAGGTTTGAAAATCAATATTAGTAAAACCAAGTCCATGAGAATAAATGCAAGGAACAACACGTTATTTACTATCGACAATATGCAGATTGAAAATGTGGAAAACTTTACCTATCTTGGAAGTGTCATAACAGAAAACGGAGGTACAGAAGACGATATTCGTATGAGGATACGAAAAGTCCAACAAGATTTCAGCACGCTCAACCCTGTTTGGAGATCTAGCGAGTATACTACAAGGACAAAGATCCGAATATTCCGATCAAATGTCATGTCTGTTCTACTCTAGACTGGAAAGTGACAAACACCCTCACAGACAAACTGCAGGTCTTTGTTAACAAATGTCTACGAAGAATTGTTCGTATATTCTGGCCTAACACCATCAGAAACGAAGATCTGCTACACCTGACCGAACAAAAGAGGGTACAAAATGAAATTAAGTCCAGAAAGTGGGGTTGGATCGGTCACACACTCAAAAGTAGTAGTCACACACAAAAATAGTTCCAGTATCGCAATGACTGCCCTAGAGTGGAATCCCCAAGGGAAAAGAAAAAGAGGGTCGCCCAGTACAAACTTGGAGAAGATCCATCATGTAGGAGATAAGAGGCCAAGGAAAGTCTTAAAATGAGGTGAAGGCCTTAGCGCAAAATAGAACCCATGGCCTGTTTACACTGAAGCTCTATGCTCCACTTGGAGTTCAAGAACCTTATATAATATATATATATATATATATATATATATATATATATATATATATATATATATATATATATATATACATACATAGGTTTAATATATTAATTTTCAAGATTTTTCATATCACTACTACTTTCTAAGTTATTTTCAAATATATCATATAAACAATGCATAAATAAAGTAAATTGTACAAAGGTAACGATTAATTTTATTTGTGGTACTAATTAATGGGTGATTTTCACAATGTTTTTACCAAAAAAAAGCGATCTATTTTATTTTGGGCGTAACTCGATAGGTTTTGATGCTAGAAACTTTCAAAAGGTTTTGATGACTTTTCCCCGAAAAGTGCTTAATTTTTGGGTTATTTCACATTGAAATATTCGATTTGGAATTTGACAAAAATAAGAATCTACTTTTCATGAGCTACAATTTTGCTTTTAATGGATCTACAGAAATTATAAGTATAGTTTTGTTTTTTTTTTATAAGATAAATTTGTTCTAGAACTATTTTTTTCGATAAATATTTATTTTTTGGGAAAAACCGTTTGAAAACGTGGTTTTTATTACGAAAAATGAAAATTTTCACTCGCAAATAACTCAAAAAGTATTGACAGTGAAAAATCTCTATAGAATAAAAGTTGCTTAGAATTAGTCAATTTATCCATTTACAGACTTATTTTAAACTAATGTTTTTTCATCACCGACAAGGGGTGGCTTTCTCTCCCAGTGAAAGCAACCCTGGGCTTAAGTTCAAAAGTGAATTAAGGGGTAAGAGGAAAATCGGCGAGGAAAATTATACTACAAAACGGTCATTTACTGGAGTAACATAATACTATTTAGCAAGCGGATGCTATTGGCTTTTTTTTAAGAAATACCTAGAACATTCAAGTCTTCTACGATTTATGGTCCAGCTATTCTATACTAAAAGCAACCTTAGTTATTATTGACAATGTAGATACAAATAAATATTCTTAACTAATAGTAACGAATATAGAGGGCGAAAGCATAAACATAATTATATTATTTGTAGATTTCTACACAAATTAAAAATTTTAATCACAATACTGTTTATAGTTCCAAAATATTCAGTTAATACTAATAAAAGTATTAAAAGTTTAGAAAATAAAGGGCATGAGTAGGATTTGGTCTCTATTTTTTCATGTAGTGGGACGGTCGGTGGTGAATGTTGTGTCACATGAGCGGCCCCTGGTGTTGACGGAACAGAAGTAAATTGTTCCGCCGCTTTATAATAGCATATCTTAAACGATCGATTTAATCGGCTGGGTACAAAACTTTGGCTAAAAAATCTAATATATTTCAAAGGAGAAAATGAATAAATTTTTATTGAATATTCCAGATGATAAATATTTAATGTCAATAAGTGATGGATTCGACCGTAACTTGATGGAAATTCATTTTATATAACAATAAAACTCTGAAAACTTTATTTTTAAAACTTCTACAAAATTTATTATATCTAATCACTACAGATGTTTCGGCGGTGCCTTTATCAAGTGATCTATTTTTGGTATTTAATAGTATAACTGAATAGGTTGAGAAGGGGAGAACTGTTTGTCTCAAGTTGGTCATTCAGAATTATAACTGTCTTTTTTAATTTGTTAATTGCCATAGATTCTAATAAAGATAGCTTAAGGCCTTTATTTTGGATGTGAAGAATTTGAAATTAGTCATTCTATAAAATTGTATACAAAATTCTATAAAATTGTATACCTGACTAAGGTATAAAAATATGGTATATAAAATATGATCAATTTTTTCTTAATTATATGAACATGAATTTTTCAGAAATAAATCATGTAAAAGAAAGAAATGGACAGCTTGTTTCAAATGCAAGAAAAATGTTTTATCGCATATAGAGAATAAAAATAGATATGCAATGGCGTTGTACTATTAAACAATTTGATAAGAATATTTTATATTTGAAACCGCAAAATATTGTACTAGTCATCTGAACAATAAATGAAATTTGCTTAAATATTGTTTTAACGTAAAAATAGTAATTATTTATATAGTCATTAGGGACATAAAAAGAACCGATAAGAATTATTTTAGGAAATTTATAACCACTGAATTTGAAAGTTTATTCTACCATTATGTGTTTCAGTATTATAAAGAAATGAGCTAATACGCATATTAAAAGATAGTTTACAGAATGAAGACGGTTAATAGACTACAAGCTCATGGACGATTTTTAACGGGTCATTTGACTCAGCATGAATCAAATATAAAACAAAACTACAATATGTAATAACAACTTTAGAAACTGTGGCGTCAATTCTTATCCCCATAAAACTATCCCATGGGCTTGTAGTATATAAATGTTCTACAAATAAACAGATCAGATCGACACTGAAATCCAAAGAGAAGGTTTACAAAGAGTTTAAATATTATACAAACACTGTTTCCTGAAGAGAATCGAACCAATACACAGTTTATCAAAAAATAAATTTAATAGTAATCAATATAAAATATAATTAAGCCGCAAAAATAATTCCATACATCATAAAAAATATTGTTCATTTCACATTTACAATTAAAAAAAAAAGAAATGAAAGAATTTCAGTAAATTGGCATTATATTCGCAAAATAACTAATACTATATTTTTATACAGTTAACTTTTATTTAACAATATATTCGTAGCTCTTTAATTTTACTAATAATGGTAATCTAAGTTTCTACGCTAAAATTAGTCTTTTGTAATTTCAACTTAAGATAAAAATATAATGTTATTATAACATCAAAAAATTTGAAATTTTGCACAAAAACAAACGTTGATAAAAGATAAACATGCCATATCACATTAATATAAAACATAAACAGAGCTAAAAGGAGTAAGGTCATACTAAATATGATCATGTTTTGTAATCATTCCAATGTTTAACTTAATAATTATTTCACCACTACCAATTTAATGTTATGGTAATATGTTTACGCTTTTTATATAATCACTTTTTGTTTTATAAAGAATGTTACAAAATAAACGCAAAAAAATCAAATGTTTTTTCTTGTGAAAAATTGAAATTTTGTATCTGAAGTATGGCTTAATTTTGTAAATCTAGTGCTGTATTTCTTTCTATAATGCGTGTGACGATCATATTAAATATAAGTGAGAGCGTCCACCAAAGTGGCGTGGCACGTAGCAAGTGGCAAGTAGCACGCGTCTAGCATGTTTCTTAAAATGTAACCAATGAAATACACCAAAATGACAGTGACGTCATTCATTCTAATCATTCGTTTTCATTGGTTACATTTTAAGAAACATGCTAGACGCGTGCTACTTGCTACGTGCTACTTGCCACGCCAGTTTGGTGGGCGCGCTCTCCCTAAGTGAAAGCGCTCACCATAGTGGCGTGGCACGTAGCAAGTGGCACGTAGCAAGTGGCAAGTAGCACGCGTCTAGGATGTTTCTTAAAATGTAACCAATGAAAACGAATGATTCAGCGTACACCAAAATGACAGTGACGTCATTCATTCTAATCATTTGTTTTCATTGGTTACATTTTAAGAAACATGCTAGACGCGTGCTACTTGCTACGTGCTACTTGCCACGCCACTTTGGTGGGCGCTCGCCCTTAGGGTGCATTAAAAATTCAATAGCACCAAAACAAATAAATATAAGTGCATATCGACTCTTCT